TGTCTGTTTGTTGCAGACAAGCGGCCGACAGTGCAGGACGTGCAAAGAAACGCTGCCGTATGCCGGTGCGGCGTGTGACCCTACCCTAAAGCCAACCATCGGCACTTCTACTCAGAGCACCCAATGCAGGTCACATGAGGCCGTCCAGCACACCCTGGTAGCTGAATGGACACACAGCCGATAACTGTCGTAGACTCCTTTAAGAATGTAATTCTGTTTGCTACCGCCGATTGCTCCACTATAAAAGTAAACCAGGATGCCGCTTTCTTTGGCTCTCTGTAGAACACTTGTACCCTAAGCAGACTCACTGAGAACACTGCCACAATGAGGCTTCACACAAGTTTGGCCGTTGAATGAACGATTTGTGGCCTTCTCAACGGATCTCCGTGTCGAACGAAAACTCCAATGATCGACAGCGTCTAAGTTCATTTCTTGTCACCTGCTGAACTTTTAGGATAGACGAAGTGTTCCTCGATTATGCAGTCGTCAGTTAATACATGAATCAATACAAGCCATGTTTGTTATTCCGCTGTTTCCCTTGGTCTGTAATGCCAGATACCAGCGAGGTCGTGATATTGGTATCGATTTTTATTTTTCGGACCAATTGGTACTAGTGTTTGGGCCTGTAACCAACAACAAGTGGTGTGTCCCATACGAATGTAGACCTGCTTTGGCTATACTCAGAGTTCAGTAGAATTATATAAATTGCCGTATGGATTGCGGAGTCGATTTTTCACTGATTACATTACAAATTAAATGCAAAACGATAAAAATACCGCTTTTTAACAGTATCTCTAATAATATAGGTGCAAGAAAAATAAGTGCGGCCAACTGTGTAGCCGTTGGCGACGTAATCAGCTGTTGCCAAGTGCTCGTTATGTTTTTTATTTTTGTCGGCTTTTTCGATCGAGGATTTATCGATTTCGTAGCGCGGATAGGCATTTGTTATGTAAAGTTAGTCATTTCCAATCTGTTCGCAAGTTGGTGATGAAGTTATTAATAACTATTTTTAATTAACTTAGATAGATGTCTGTATATTTACATTTCCCTATTCGCATATATCAACACGATAACGTGTCAGTACGTGAATTTGTCTAGGTTTATATGGGACATGTGAGTTCAATGTACAATAGTCGAAAACAGAAAATAGGAGTTCATCGAAAAAAATAGGTCACTTTTGTGAACGTAAATCTCAATCAAAGGCTCTATCTCTGTTTACAATAACGTAGGTGATTTCGACGTGTGGGGTTATTATCAATCTACAGCGTGATCATTGTGTTGCCTCCGGATTTACTGATTCAAGAGAAGTTGTTATGAAATGGTGATATATAAGAATTATTAGCATCATCATAACAATAGTCATAATTATTAAGCAGCAGAAGAGCTGGCACTGACAATGGGAAGAAGTCATTATGCTCTTTACTGTACCCCCCCCCCCCCTTTAACGATGTCTTTTTTGCTCCCATAACATTCTGCTACTGTGTAACACAAGATTATCGTCTGCCAAGACAATAACGCATTCTCCTCTATACATTTATATATATATATATATATATATGTTGTTTGTTTTCGATTTATTCATCTCTTTGTGGTCAATTTTTTGGGCGAGGACGGCTGGGAAAGTCGTGCCCTTGGAGGCGAACCACTCCCGACAAAAACCTCATCATCAGCGGCAAGGCATGGAAAGGAGTTGGGGAAACAAACACTTTGCTTTGAAGTCACAACATTGTTGGCGCAAACAGCAGGATTTCCCAATATCCTACCTGCAACGTTCGTCACTCAGCAGAGGAGATCGTATTGTTGTTCAAACACGTGTTCAGCTTTAGCGATTTTTATGAATCAGGCAAACTAGGTTTTACAAACTCCTACTCCAATATTTGTCATGTTAGACAGGAACTGTGTGATTACCTATTTTTCTCTCATCTATATTTTCATGCCCTAGGTTTTTCCGCCACTAAAATGGGGCGTGCCCAGCTGATCGTTCCGATAACGTTATGAACATAAATGTAGGCTCATAGAAGCCATGCTAAAATACGCATTAGATCCAGCTCGATCTAGAAATATGTTGATCTGGCACAATTATCCGTCCGTAATTTGCGTTAGTAGAAAACAAATAACTTGTTGAAGTTGTATTTGTAATCTTGGCGTCATTATCAGATGTCGTGGCTCTGAGCATTAACTTTTGATATAGTGATCAATACTATAACACTCAAACCTTGTCAACCAACCCCTTTTCTGCTTCCTTTATTCGTATATATGTATATATATGTATGTATATATATATATATATATATATTATGCTTTTATACTTATGGAGTCTTTACCGAAGAACTTTACTAAATCGTTCTTTATTATTCATTTTGTTTTAAAGGCAATGGAAGAGCTATTTTGAAAAAAAGGGTTTTTAACGTTACTCGCTGTTATTGTCACTAACATAGACTTACGATAGGGTGCTAGGGTTGCTATAGTTCTTCCTGTTATACTTTAGGGAGTACTCGTTAATTATCTTGCTTTAAAACCTGACTAACTAATGATCGCTAACTATTATCTGTCTGTGTGATGTTCCTATTCTTTGGTTCGTGGCTGATCGTGGATTCCTGCTGTTTCAAGCTCTGAGTTCAGTCTCCGTTCGGCTGTCTGTTTTTCAGGTCAAATACAAATACATTCAACGCCGCGTACCGTTAAATCGTCGTTATCCGTTTCTATGTCTGTTACCTGCCGGTCCTTGTCGACCCTTTTGTGTGATGTTCCTTTGATACCTCTACTATTGATGGAACAACGTTGTTGTACGTGAAGATAATCTGAAGTAGCATTTACTTGCATTCCCCAGATAACTCACATAAGAAGCAATTTGCTAATGGAACCAAATTCAATTTGGTGTTCTGCAGCATGTTCGTGTACTAATGACTCGTATTGCTTACCGACTACTACAATTGTTGAGATATTAGGAAGAAAAGCTGTGTTGAAAGGACAATTTTTCAAAATCAGCCCACACGAATGCCGTATTTCCAGCTATCAGTTTCAACACACAGATTCGTTTCTACCCGGCAGGGAACATGTCCGGTTGTTTATGCGCAGACAACTAGAATACGGACCAGTAGATCGATAGGTTGAGTCAGAGAACCATTTGTGAAGAAGACGGCGGAGAGCATTCCGTTCAGCGAAATGCGGCGACAGCCGCCGAAGCCGCTTAGGCGGTTTATCCCGAAGGGACAGAAGTTGATTTCTACTCGATTCAGCATCACAATCGCGCTTTGCTAAATGCGTTAGGCACTTCTAAAAGAAGTAAGTTCTTGTAACTTCGATGCCACTATGCGCTGTTTGTGTCGAGATCACTCGAATCACGTCTCGATGTACTCGCAGGCCGCCACGCTTACTACATATTGTTAACGTTATGAACTTTCCGTTTCGGTGGCTTAGTCACTGTATGATTTGCTTATTCGCACGTTATGTTTACATAAACATTCAACGGTTTCCCGTATCTCCCTAACGTTAATCTGGAGTTAATTGTTTTTTTATCTCTATTATTAACGCTTGCGTAAACTCTCAAAGCATCAACAGGTTAGCACTCGACAGCCCATCCGCAAATGGCGTCCAATCCGGTTGTTATTACGGAAATGGTATTCTCGGTGGGGGTCATCGTGGTATATTATAATAGATAGATGTTTTCACCTCGACAAACAACAAGGACCGATAGAATAGTTCTAAGTGGTACAAAATAACAGAGCGAGAAGCGAGCTGTTTTTGTGGATAGATTGGGTCATCAAAAAAGTCTTGACCGTTCTTTCATTTGAAGCGAAAATATTTATATTTTTAATTAATAAACATGCGCGATTTTGATCGATCGTCTTCTGCAATTTGTCTAGCAACATCATCATTTCATTAGCAGAACACTTTTATGTGTAT